TGGAGATTACTAAGCGCCAATAAATAATACAATAATTAATTTTGTATTTTATGAATTAGTGCCTTCGATAATAAAAAGTCGTCATCGAATAGTCTCATGCCGATATTCAAAAAGACTGTTTTCATTGTTATTACAACAAATAGGTCATAATAACATGACAGAGTGTTTTGTTTCAGTATGTTCTAGATAAATATACAAAAAGCCAATTTTAGACAATGTACCCCATAAGCTTGGAAATGTCGTGGCTAGTAACCTATAGCATGGACGTATTATATTGACAATATAATACTTCCATGCCTATATAGTTAACGGCGTTTTTCTCACAATGACGTTCTACATCCACACGCCATGAAATGTCATTGCGGGTCACATATGGCCAACATGTTTTAATTGTCGTATATCCACAACCCCGTCTTCTATTCCAAGTTATGGCATTACCGAATGATACTTATAATAGGATTTACACGATGGGTGTAATTAGTGGAGCGTACTGATGCACCTGCACCCCCTCGAGTCCCAATTTTTTGTAAGTGTGGTTCGTATAATTTGCTCACTCTATTTTTTTCTGTAGTGTTTGGTGGATGAATGTTTAGCTGTTCCGCGTTGTTTTTCTCTTGGTCATTTTTCTTCTGTTTTTTTTTTCGGTTTATGTATTTTTTATTTCCACTTGGTATCGTCTCCTCTTTTTTATTTGCATATACGCATCGTCGTTTCCCTATAACTTCACTACAGTAAACAGCTAATGCATATCTTTATTTAAAAAAGATGAATGTCTTCCTTATGATAAAAAAGAAGTTTTTGTTTTACTGAAACGTTATTTTTTCTAGGCAGATGAATCGACGAAACGTTATCTACAACTGCTGTACTGCACGAATCAATGCATTTAAATGCAACCTAATGGCCATTGAAACATATCATTATTTCAGGATTTAAATTTCTCAAACCTTGATTTTTCAGAGGATTTACCAAAGGACATACCGACAAGATCGAAAGAAAACAACATGACACAACAATTAAGATAGAAGTAGTGATTTCAACTGCATCTAGTTGAGATTTATGTTATTTGTTAACGCCTGAAAAGTCCTTGTAAATAAATAATTCTTATAGAGCTGGCTGCAAAAGACGAAATTGTTCATGATAGCTAGCTATCATATCTTTATCTTGTAATAAATTAATGCCATGGGTGGATTAACCAATGCCGAAGGGTGGCGTCTGTTGGGCTATGCTGGATATATTATATATACGCAAATTCTTCTGGTCAGAATGAGGACATTTCATTCAGAACTTCCTACTGGAATAATTGTTAATTCGTTCTTTTTCTGCATGAATATGTACGATATGTTTGTCACTAGACTTGTCATTTTCCATCTGTAAATGCTTTTCACACTTTTTGATAGTTAGTTAATATAAAGATACAAATGACACCAATGTTCATTCGGTTTCACAGTTTGACGTCGTGAAAATATAACATTTAACGTTAGCAACGCCATTACCTCATTACTGTATCGTATGCCCTTTTTAAAACGCATTAAAACCTCGTTTAACGCGTTAAAACATTGTTTATCGCTATAAAACTCCTATTTATCATTTTTAACTTTTAAGGCATTCGATCTACATTTTATCCCGTTGACTCTACTTTTTGACGAAGGATTTCCATAACTTTAAACACGTTAAACCTTGCTGTTGACGCGTTAACGTTGTTTAAAGTGCTTTGAATACGTCAAAAGATAGAAAAATGTTGATTTTTGGACTGAAATCCTTCGTTTTAATAGACCTCCGCCAACGTAATACACTGTAAAAATGAGTGTTTAAGATGGCATACAAACGGGGTTTGCCGACAAAGAAAAGAAATAATTGGCTCACGTTGGCGGAGGCACTCAAGAATTAAAAAAAATCTCAAAAAAAACACAGTAACTTTCGTCGAAATAGTAATATCGGTTCGAAATCGGAGTAAGAGTTGAAAATATCCGCATTCGGCTGTGACTACAAGACACCCACAACTAAAGAATGAGTACTTCCATAGGTGAGGTATTGTAGTATCATACCATCATACATTATGATGTTATGATACTTAACCCCTAACGGGAGGGATTGTGCTTGATTTTCATATGATGAAGACATAATCTTTCAATCAGTTTAACTGAGGTCTAGAGCTGGCATGCCAGTAACTGCTAGTAGTCCTTTGTTAATTTATGTATCATTGTCTTTTTGCCGTAGTTTCTTCTGTTACCTATTCTGACATCGGATTCGAAATTCTTTTAAACTGAGTTTTACTGTGCGTATTGCTATGTGTTTGTTTATTCTACATTTGCTAGAGGTATATATAGGGGGAGGTTGAGATCTCACAAAACATGTTTAACCCCGCCACATTTTTGCGCCGTGACAGTCCCAAGTCAGGAGCCTCTGGCCTTTGTTAGTCTTGTAAGTTTTTTTTAAATTTTGGTTCATTTATATGTTTCGGAGTTTAGTGTAACGTCCATTTCTGCTGAACTGGTACACATTTTACGGGTGCGGGATTTTCTCGCTGTGTTGAAGACCCATTGGTGGCCTTGGGCTGTTTTTCTGCTCTTTGGAGGAGACGTTATTTAGAGTTGAACGATGGACAGTCTGTGGGCTGAATGCTACATACTATCTGATTGGAAGATATTGCTGACTCTATCCAGGAACATATATACTGTTCCCAGCTCTATCATAGCTAACTTGTGTTGATTGGTTGGGACAATTCGAAACCTAGTAATTTTAGCAATTAGATTTTGCCTGGTTACTAATCATGCAAATCTGTACACAGGTAACACTTATCTATAAATAGCCGAAACTACTGAAATATTGTCTATCCAGTCGCTCACTGTTACGTACATCTTGTACACGAAAGCATACTTATGAAAACATCGTGCTTTTTTCTTAGCCTAGATTATAAAATAGGCCTATTCTAGTGGCTCATCCTTACCTCTCACTACAAATGATAAGTATGGTAAGTGCCCCCCCCCCCCCCCCCCCCCCCCCCCCGATCTTTAGGGTACGGTTTGGGCTGGGTTGAACGTTTTCTAGTTTTCTAGCTCTCCCTATCAAAATAGCAGACGATGAAGAACAGAAGATTAAAAAATCGAAAGGGAAATATATATATAAGAAGAATATAAAACTACTCTCAGACGATGAAAGCAATTATACATGTATTCTATCATATTTCAGCAATGCTTAATTTCTATGAATGATTTTAAAGGAGATATGAAGTATACGTGATTAGTTTAGACAGCAACCCAATTAAACAACAAACAAAACAATTTACTTCTAAAATTCAACCTACGATCTTCTACAATGGACATGTCATTACAATATTTTAAGTTTTTAATCCTCCCAAGTCTAGCTATGATATATAGAATAGCTGTGAATACATGTACAAAAAAATATCTTAATAGCAAACAATGAATATTACTTAAAACAATGAGGAGGGTCAAGAACAAACTTCTAGTAGTCTTTATAGGTATTTATTTTATGTGTATTTAATACTTCTGTCTGTGTTGTTATGATCGTATATTTTTGTAATCTATATTTAGTATAATATATTAATTATACATGTACCTATATGTTGTAAAACATTTGGTTAATAAAGAATTGAATAGTTGTTTTGAGGTTTATTGACCATTCATACTATATATATATATGCTATATGAGAGAAAGAGAAATAAAAGAAAATTATAAATTTCAAATACGAAAATACTGTTGGCATTTTAAAAGAACGGTCTCTCACAAAAAGATTATGTCAATCCAGTATGTTAAGCTTTGAAGGATTAGTACGATAAGGACCTTATTTGACACCCAACATTGAACGGTATACTGCATCATAACGTGTTTGGTAAAATTTGCTGATTGATATGCAAGGCTATTCTGAATGAATTAATCTACAAAGCGAGAACACTTTCCACTTTCATCAGCTAAGAGACGGCTAGCTTTTTTAGAACAGCTATTACTTGTTTTGCAATACACCTCATCGCTATTTATTCAAATACGGATAAGTTCAAAAATTACACAACTTTTAGCGATCTGGGGCCCTGTTTAAACAATGTATTATGCATTAAACTTTTCAAAGAGAAATGTTTAAACAATCGTAAACATTTCAAACAAAGCATTTTTATTACTTTAATGTGTGTTTAAAAAAAGTGAATCATAATTTATCAAAGTTTCAAAATGTTTGCTTTCTAAAATTTTTCCTCACTTAGCTCGTTACTGATGACCTTTGTTTTTGCAACACTTGACCCAAACAGGAAGTTGTCTAAGTGACTGTTTTTTTCCGGATTGGACTAAAAGGTAGCGATAAGGTGTATTGTCCCTCCGGTTGGGTCAACCTTATAAATCAAAGCCACAAATAGTTTTAATAATTAAATTATTTTTCTTTTCAAGTAAAAAATACTGAGAATATGTAAAAGTTCGGAACAAAATACCGGGCCGTTGACTTTGAGAAAAAGACCACCGCCGAAAACAACTGAGCGTTTTGTTTAGATTTTTATAATGAGTAAACATGTAAAGTAAACAATTTTTGCAAGTTAGTTTGTCCCAGTCCCAGATTTCTTTTGTAAACAAATAAAAAAAAGTGGAGAAATGTTACAAATCTATGAAATGCAGTAGATGTAAATACCTTTTTAACACCTTTCAGTAGGTTGTCGGAATCAGGACAACTGACCAAAGACAAATCGGACCAAGACATCTCGGACAATTTTAAGACAACTCGGACCACTTTCAAAGACAACTCTGACCAGTTTGAAACACTGTTCAGACCAGCGTTTTTTCTAGATTTGACTGAAGTTGTTTTATACGTATACATGTATAACATTGAAATTAAATCGTACATTTGAAAGTATAGACCCCTTGATAATTTTGTTTAAATATTCTTAAGATTCTTATGTTATCTTTTAAAGTACACGTATGTCTGTAAACCCAATTTTAGATTTAATGCATGTCAAAACATTAAGCGATGACCATTTTCATTTTTCTTTAGAAATAAATAAAGTAGTTATGTTTTATAAAAAAGATATATTACATCATTCTCGACTTTAATCCTTTTTCAATGTAACATTTTGTACTCCAGACGAGTGTTTCGTTTTTGCAAAGTAGTCATCAGTGACGCTCGAATGAACAAGGATATCAACTGGATCCGATACTACAGTTCTTCTCTACTTTTTATATTTAAACCATATTCTTTTCGGAGTCCTATATAAACGTTTCTAGGATTATTAGGTGAAAATGTTTCCAACGTTGTTAATACACTTAACCGTTCTCTTTCAAATTTGTTACTTAACATTGCTTGTTCATAAAAATCAACCGTTTCCTTTGCAGCCTGTCCGAAAGACGTGGGTTTAAAACCAAGTTTATGCTTTGCTTTTTCACAGCATATTGGACCTCTTGTCACGGACGGAAATAAGTGAACAACATCTTCATTGTCAGACACTTGAATATCAATATCTTGCTTTTCCATATATTTTTTCATCATTTCAAGAACTTCTGGCAGCGTTGGCGTCTCATCAAAAGCAAAGTTGTATGCTTCGTCTAAAAGGTCTTTGTCATAATTCAAACTTTGTGATACAATTTTTGCAACGTCTTCAACATAAACGAAGCTCATCGGAAAGTTAACAAGATTTTTCGGAATAGATATTTCTGTTTCTAAGTATGGTGATAATCGCAACCAAGCCTGGTATATCCACCAACGGTACGTGTTATCACGTGATCCAATAACATCCGGCAATCTGATGAAGAAGTATGGCATCCCACCTTGCTTTCTCTGTTCTACCAAAACCTCTTCCCCTGAAAATTTCCGATGTCCGTAATCATCTTTCTTGTTCAAAATCTCCTGCTCTGGTATATGACCCGGTCGTACAGAATCGGTCTCTATCGTTGGCCGAGTATGGTTTTTCGTGCAGACCTCGTATACAGAGTCAGAACTGATGTAGATATAACGCCCTACTCGTCCTGTAATTAAAAAAAAATCATATTTGTGCACGCCAAAGACACGTATTTAATAGCTTTTTTCTTGTCAAATGCTTTGCATATGGCAACATTTTCTGCATTTACATTTGTTTTTCATGTTGGTTTTCATGTATAAAAAGGGGGGTTCCTTTTTGTTTGACAACTAATGCTTTTGTATGGGGACTTAAGGTTGGATGAAAGTTACCGGCGGAATGAGTCAGTGTTGCACCTCATCCTTTTATTATTTTTTTTTTATTTATTGAAATTCACTGGATATATTTATTACATTGGCTGCAATAAATTACCTTGCCTGATTTCTCAGTGAAATAAAAACCGATAATTTCACATGTGAAATGATACATTAGTTTATAATATGATCGAAAATAGTATTGAGGTTCTTTTCATCCGAACAGAACCTCCGTAAAAATATGAAGTCGACTTACCTTGCAGAAGTTTCAATGTATCCTTGATCATATACGGATCAAAACCACTGAAATCTACAATTGCATCATAAAAATCATACTGTTCTGCACTCCAGCAATCCATCAAACTTTTCATTCGATCACATTTCAAATGCTTTATCCGTGGCTTGATAGTATCGTCAGTGTCCCAGTACCAGTTTCCTCTGGTAACCAAAGTCAAATCGTGTCCATTTTCTAGCATTTTATTTACGCTGGCTGCACCAATAAGACCATTTCCACCAAACACCAGTACCTTTTTAACACCACCTGCGTTAGTCCAAAGAACAAGAGAGAAGAGTATTATAAATGATATCAATAAGCCCATGATTTCTAACTGAACAATACTTTTGTGTCTCCACTTTTAAAAACAAAGTTATTAAAATCACTACAGTTATGTCATTTTATGGGTCAATGGTAGTTTATCCGGCTAAAAGACCATTGAAGGTTTATTGAATCGTGACTCTTAAAATAGATAAACTAATTGGAGATCGTTTTTTCTCTCTTTTGAATGCAAATATGATCATGTACAATTAGTTGAAAATTTGTGAAAAGCAAAGAAAACATAACATTAAATGAAAAGAATAATTTGTCTGAGGACACAAATGCCTACGTTCAAGCTTTGCAATTTTCCACGTTAAAGGGGGGCCTAACTCTAGAACGGTAAATGACTTACAACCCAAATTCGACCTCTGTCTACGTGTTATGGTTCTTAGCCTTGTGTATGAGTTTTATAAAATTTGGATGAGTTAAACTTAAGTTAGAGTGTGGAAACGAAAATAATTGCAATTTTCCAAGTTTATATAAAGGGGCATAACGCTAGAACAGTAAGTGACTCGCTGCCCAAAATCGAACTCTGCATGCAACTTTCGGTTCTTAGCATTGTGCATGAGTTTCATAAAATTTACACGAGGCAAACTAAAGTTAGAGTGCGAAAACGAAAATGGGATGGCGGAAGGGTAACACCTAATGCCCCCGTCGCCTACGGCGGGGGCATAGAAATATAGTATATTTCAACACAAAAGGTACATGTGTTTAGCAAAATATTGTCCTAAGAAATATTGTCTCCAACTATGAAATAATGTCCGAAAAGGACAAATTTCCATATGAAATTTAGTCCATATACAGACAATGTTTCATAGGTGGATAGTATGAATTTTTTTCTTGTTAAAGGGAGGTTATCCAAGGTTATATATTGTGTATTGAGACAATATTTCATAGATGGATTGCCATGCAATTTTGTCTCATGAAAGTGAGGTTATAGACATTTAATATTTTGGATAATGGTATCATTAAAGTGTTCTATTGATTGATAATAACAAACAAATCTCCACAATTTATGGATATACACATACTGTTTTATGAAAAATATTTTTAAAAATTTCAGAAATGCTCACAATTTCATGGCAGAGGATTTCTCAAGGAAGACATTACTAGATGCTCACAATTTCATGGCAGAGGATTTCTCAGGGAAGACATTAATAGAAGAAACATTTTCATGGACATAATTTCACACTGAAATATTGTCATGTACAGAATTTCACAGTGAAATGTTATCAGAGACAGTATTCCATAGTTAAATATTGTTCAGAAGTAGGTGACAAAATTTCATGGACAAGGACACTATTTCATATTGAAATATTGTCCTGGACAGTAAATCAATATGAAGTAGTGTCCGCGGACAATATTTTATATGAAATTTTGCCCAACAGACAATAGTTCATGGGGGACATTACTTTATATTACAGACGCACGGATGAAAACCAAAATATCTCTTCCTTTGAAGCGAGTATATAATAAAAATCCACGGAGGGCATGCTTATACAAATATATTTATAACATCAAAAATTTACACACTTAGTATACTACTGATAATTCAGATTGCGATAATGACTGGCATCATTTGACCTTCATTTGACCTTCATTTGAAAGACTTGCAAAAAGAGAAAAGTAGAAAAATATTTGAGCTTGCCAAGTATCACACTTACAGAAATCAAGAAGGCAAGATGCACACAGAAATGCTGATCAATTAGGTTTAGATGTCAATTAAAATTTATGTACGTAGTTTGAAGAATTTAATGTACAAGATTTGAAAAAAAAACTTAATTGAAATCAAATATACAGTTGATTCCATAAGCATGTCGACCTCATTAAACTTTACTCAGTACCCGGAATACACAGTTTGTGCTCGAAACACATGATAAAGTATTTTGATTGGTTAAGTTCTGAGTCTTGAGAACGACAATCGTAATCAAAAGTTTTATGACGCTATTCAACTACTAGTATTCAAATAAAAATATCCGTCATTTCTATATAGGTCGGGCTGCTGTTCGTTTTGGACTAATGAATGTCTTCTCGACTGCAGAAATCACCAAAGACTGATACAAAGATACACGGTAATTCTCAATGATTACTGAGATTTTTGTCTAATTGTCGGTGTTTTCAAAATTTAAAATTTAATAAAATATCTAGTTTTAAAGTACAGTTCACTATTTATAGTAAAAACCGATTGGTGTGAATGGAATTTCCTGCAGTTTTAGTTCCTTTCGGCTGGCATAATGCATTATCTATGCAGTAAACTATACATTTTTTAAGACTGGGAATTAGTATTTATGAATACCACCAAACAACAACAAACAAAAAAAAACGGATAGATCATGGAACAGTTGAAGAAAAAGAAAAATGGAATATAATTAAGCTGTGTACAATTAAGCAACTTAAGCGTTTTCTGCAAATCATACTTTCGATTACGATCGTCCCCGAGGTTTTAGATTGTCAAGCAGACACGCTTGAGGATAATATTGATTCAAATTAACTCAAAAATTTCAGAGGGTTCCAATCTATGTTTTGGAAGACAAACAAAGGATGCCGAGTAATGACAATACTTTATTCCTATTTGTACCAATTGCGTTTGATATATTTTTGTTATGTGTTCATCGGCTCAAGGCTATATAGCCTGGTTGCATGTAAGGTAGTCGGACAAAAACAGTTCCAGGAATTAGGATTCTAAAAATATACGGACTTCTTTCGTCAAGATATGTCAGAGGTAGCATCACAGTTGAAGGATTTTAAACAAATGTTCTATGGTCGGGTTGTTGTCTCTTTGACACATTCCCCATTTCCATTCTCAATTTTATTAGTAATAATACTAGAATATAAATTTGCAATATTCAGAGGTAGATGAAGAGCAGGCCTGATCGTAACCCTTGGCTAGCGAAAATGAGGTTCTTGTCACATAATCGACTACGTGTACTATCAATTTCAACACTGAATAAAGTCAAACGATACGATTTTTAAAGATATATAAATTTTATCAGTTTTACAGTTGTTCAAAGTCGAGACAACCGGAAATACTACTAATAAACAAACACATGTGATAGACCACCTAAAAGGGTAAATTATACATATATTAAGTATTATTTAAAACGAAACTTCTTTACACAAGTCAGACTAAAAGAAACTACACAAGTTAGAAAGAAAAAATATACCAAACATTTAAAGTCAAGCATTTACAGCCAACATTGTATATATTACTAAAAAGCCTACCTCAGCTAGATGAGCTGTTAACCTCTCGCTTTTCTAACCATTGTCATCACTTGGTGTCCGTCGTCCATGAAACTTTTGGACCCTTTTCCAAAACCATTGTGATTGAAGTAAGATACAGGCAGTTTTTATCGGAGCGCCAGAAGACATCGTCTTTGTAATAAGGCCACCATTTCCAAAACAATACTAGAATAGTGGAATATTCAGACATCTTCAATTAGTTAAAGGGCTACTATATGCGGTAGCTGTAGAAAAAAAAAAACACTTGTACTTCTGTTGAAAAAGACAATTATTATAACTCTCCCATAAAGAAGGGAGTATACAGGTTTACATCTGTCCGCACGAAACACAATTCTATTGCATTTTTTTTAATCAGCAACCACAAGCCAAAGCTTCTTTATATATTTACCAATCTTCATTTGGTTATGCCTCACCGTGTGACATGTTTCTGGTTCCTTCGATATTCTACTTCCTGTTTGCCAAAAACTGATATCTTTAAATTCGACATGCACACATATTAAATTTTCATTTAGTTATATTTCGTGGTATATGTGGGAACAATCTTGTTGGTTCTATTTTTACTACATGCTGGTGAAATAATTTTATGATGGTTCCATCTTGATTGACTAATTTGTACGATCTCATATTAAAATCGACATTAACAATGGTTTAAGATGAAGCTGATCCCTTCTTTTAAATATAAATGCAAATTATTGGCAGCTGTGCACTTTGTAATTCAGACAAATTTGAAAAACAATGCAGACAGGAAAAGCAAAAATAGTTAAAGCCGTTAGTTTTCTCGTTTGAATTTTTTTACATTCGTCATTTCGGGGCCTTTTATAGCTGACTATGCGGTGTGGGCTTTGCTCATTGTTGAAGGCCGTACGGTGACCTATAGTTGTTAATTTCTGTGTCATTCGGTCTCTTGTGGAGAGTTGTCTCATTTGCAATCATACTACATCTTCTTATCTTTATAAAGACTTGCCAACATTTAAAAAGACAAGCAAACAATAAATAGCTTCTTCTTCACAAATGGCACCCTTTGTGCGCGTTCGTTGGTGTCATAAGCAAAATTAGGAGGACTGAATGATGACTACAATATACACCAGAAAACCGTCATGTATTATTTTGATGGAATTAACTTTACAGCGGTCTAAATTAAATCAACATTTTGCCGATTTCTGTTTACATACTAGCATTAATTCAAATATTTTCGCTCGTCTGTCTCATATCGAAGGAACTAGAAACATGTCACACGGTAAGGCATAACCAGATGAAGTTTGGTACATACATGTTAGTATTTCTTCATAAACACTACTGTTTGGAAAAAGTTCACAACAATGTAAAACTTTGAAAGTCACAGAAATATTACTAAAGAAGGCAGGATCGTAAACTTTGCTTGAAAATGAAATGTAGTAATGCTCATGCAACATTATTGCTTTTTATATATAGTATTTCATTGTAAAGGGACTTTTATGAATCAACCTAAAATTACAAGAGGATGAGAGACGAGTGGAGCCATGTATCCTACTTGTAACGTACTTTTATACGAAGTCAGCATTAAATTAGATATAAATGGTCTATTGTAATACATCTTACCAGAAAGCTTTACGTTTGAACTATCTAAACATTCAAACACAAAAATATAATATTTTAACGTCCCTTTAGATATTCAAGCACAGTGAATCATATACCAGGAAAATTTAGACATGAGATGTACAAATGCTAATGCAACTGCATACTTGATAAGTGTTTCTTCCTCTATTCCTGTCATAATCACACATTGAAACATTACTTGTAAAACGGCAAATATTTCAAGGCCAATGGATATTGGGAAGACGGGGCTAAATACTCTGCAGTGTATATCATACAACTACTCATGTTATGTGGGATTTGTCTAACATTCCATATATCGCAAATGCCATGCATGGTCATATGAAATAGAGAAAATTATGTGGTGTATGCGTCAATGAAACAGCAACTCAATGACAAATATAAACAAAAGATATCTGAGGGTTTATCGGATTGGCAAGCTAAAGAAAATACATTTGAATAAAATATCATTGACTTATAGTATAAAGAATTCTTTTTTTAAATTAACCTCGACTAATCATTTTTATTTAACAATGACTGACGTCGTAAATGGCAGAAAACACGACATATGTCTCGCCTTCCACTTGTTTCGTTGCAGGCGAGACAATAAAAGACTTGGTCTTTTACCTTGATTAAGTAGGTCAAAAGTGGAATATATGTTTGGAAATGTTTAATGACTTGGCGAATCAATGAATTTAAACACTACAGATGAAGAAAGATTTTGGTCAAGGTCTTTTCAGTGCTATGAAGGAGTAGAAGAAGAACAGTTAATTCACTTCATGATTAAAAATGAGATTGAAATTGAAATATGCTATAGAGTGTACAAAAAAGTTCTTTTTTCGTTTTTCCATTAATAAAGTGTCAGTTTGTCAACCACAGTTTAAAATACTTTCGTTTCCAGTGAAAATAAAATACACTAAAATAAAACAATTTTTTATTCCGGCAGAGCTGCAGACTGTATAATGAACGGCTTTTGGATATCAAATCTACTAACAGGAATACTTTTTGTTATTTCTGGTAAGTTGAACCAGGGTTTAGAAAAAATGATGGAAAATATATCTGAACTATGTGAGACTCTTTTAATTGTCAAATTGACCAATTCGATACTTATATTGTTTCAACAGGACAGACAAAATTAAAAATGTCTTCATTGCAATTTTCATGGTAAAAACCGAAATCAAGTTTCAGTCACTTTTCAATATAATTATCCTTTAAGTCAATGTCTGTATGCCTGACTGCACGCATAGTCGAGCAGTAATAACCCTTACTTAATTGTTAGTGACAATAACAGAGGAGGAAAAACATAGCAAGTGGTCTATTTTCAAAATCTTATTCAAACATGCTTACATCATCTGATTTCGTACACGCGTAGTGATTTTTTGTCATGATTCATTACACTATATAATTTCTTTTTATGTAAAAAAAATATCCACTTTTGGAAATGCGAATAGTGGTATTTTAAATAGGCACATAACAGAAATAATATTGGGTTAAGAAGTACTCTTCAAACTAAGGACATTTGTATTAACATAAAAATTGTCACAAAAATAATGTTTATTGATTATTTACAAGGTTGCAAAGGATTCCAGTACCCGGAGTCAGAACCATGCATTATAGTAAATATGGACGCCACAATTCAACTGACTCAACTTGGAACTCAACCGGTAAACACAACCTGATTTCAACTATATATATGGAAACGCATATCCCGATTCTACTGCAATAGAATTTACTAACAGACGACTCCGGTTTTTTAGGAATCTTTTCAAAGATCTTACATAAAACTTACACAATCCCGTGACACTTTATCGGAAAATAAAATATGTTAAGCATAAAGATATCAAAGTTATTAGTATTTAAGTATAACACATTAAATAGAGTGTATTTATTTTAGATCAAGACAAAAAAATATATATCCGTACCACGAAATCAGACCTTAGAAAATATGTGCTTTATATAAAAAAAGGCCAATGTGGAATGCTTGCCAATGAGAAAACTACGTACCACAATCAAAATGACGTTGACGTAAGCAAATATAGCCGGTAACGTTACGGCCATCAACAATGAGCAAAACACATAAATATACCGTAAAGTCTGCTTTAAAATGACTCGACATCACAAAACAGTAAACGAAAAAAACGACAGCCACTATAACGACAACCGCTTTATTCTGGACACTGAGGATGAGTAAAATCCAAACCTTTCAGGAATATCTGGACAACCAGGACTAATGACAATATCGTAATTAAGTCCTCAATAAAATGAAATAAACTACCATTTCAAAATATATAACGTGAATCAAACACATTGCTAATCTTCTTTCGTTTTTTTTTTTGGCATAACCGTAAAAGATTAACAGAAGACTTTGGCAAATAAAGTCAAGTCTATTTCATTAAAAAAAAATAATGTATAACTGCAAATGTTCAGTACAATAACTTATATAGTTAATAACTAATTTTACAATCTACAGGTAGAAGTAAAATCATCTTTGAACAGCTCCAAAGTAGACAAAGGATTTTGTGCAGGTGCCAGCGGCTCTACAGCCAATTTAATATTACAAACTACAGCTCCTTTACCAGCGAGGATTACATTATTATTTAGCAAAGACGGACAATCTGTTGTCTTTATGGATATTTCAGCACTTTTCGATCCAGATGTTATTTTTAATAATACAGATAAAGGTACACGGTTTTTAAAAGTTTAGAGAAAGATTTTTGTAGAAAAAAATACATTCGGACAAAACGAGTAAAGCTTATAATTCCATGAAGTTAAAACAAAAAAAAGGCTGAAGATATCAAGGGGACATTCAAAACTCACATGTCGATGAAACAACTGACAACGCCATGGGAAAATAAACTGTCAACACAGAGATATGTATCGTTTTTTTGTTATTTTGATAGTAAAATGCAAATGTTAAAATCAAAATAGCAATACTTTAACATGCAAGTTATTCAAAATATTCAAGGTACAAGACCAAACAATCTCCATGGAAATGAGATGTGCCAATGCTAATACATATGCATACCAGATATCATTGATCTACCACTAGTGGTTCCCTACAAAACTGACCTAATCACAAACTAATACATTGAAGACACCGCCGCTACCACCGCTGCCGCCGGAAACAACATAGCAATGTCTCGCTTTTTGACTCCGTTATTGAAAACGAAAGACAACAAAAAGACAAACAAGTCCACAAAACACAACGCTGAGCAACACTTTTATAAAGTTCGAAAATAAGAAGATGTGTATGATTGCCTATGAGACAACTCCCCACCAGATACCAAATGCTGTAGAAATTAGCATCTATAGGTCACCGTAAGGCCTTGAACAATCAGCAAAAATATATACCGCATAGTAATCTATAAAAATCCCGAAGTGACAAATGTAAAACAATTCAAAATGGGAAAACTAACGGCCTGATTTATGTAAAAACAATAAACGAAAAACAAATAAGATATACATAAACAAACGACAACCACTGACTTAAAGGCTCCTGGCTTGAGACAGGCACATACAGAATGTGGTGAGGTTAAACATGTTTGCTAGAGCCAAACCCTCCCCCTAACCTGGAACAGTGGTATAACAGTACAACATAAAAACAAACTAAACAAATCAGTTGAAAAGGGGCTTAACTCATCAGCCCGATACTAATCAGACAGAAACAAAAACACAAAAGACACAAAGTACAGATCTGTATATTTGTATCTTCCGAAGGCATACTGAATATTTTTCGGATGGAACCAACCTAACTATTCCCCGGTTGGATGCAGTTTATTTCTGAACATTCTATTCAAGTGCATTATTGAAGTTTTGTTTTATTTCAGGTAACCAAGTAACAACAGACGATGGAAACACGCGTCTTTCAAAGGATACAGCTTCTTACAAATGTGAAGATGAACGAACTCTTTCATTTAGTGGAAGGAATTCATCAATGTACATGTACGAGTTTAAGATGACTGTCAGAAATGTTGTTATTCAAGCTTTTAACATAGTTAATGGTACACTATCAGAAGGTAAATAATTGTTTTGGTTAACGATATTACCGGTATTAAGAAATAGTAGCAATCAAAGGACATTCTACAAAAACAAAACATGATGGTTCTTTTTTTTAAATTTCTTAAATAGTGTTTTCTGTTCGAAATAACAAGAGTCTTCACGTTTAAGTTGATCATCATTAAGTAAAGAAAATTATTTAAGATATCGACCATCAAAGTAACAATATCTGTAAAATCTGTTTGAAAAGATGACAAAAACTTGAAAAACTGAGCCGGAAAATATATATAATCAAAGCACCCATTTATCTTAATGAGATTGCAATTGAATTTTCTAATAAAGACGGCTGTCTTTGCTGGTTGCTAGGTACATTTGTTAATCAGATGCAATCTAGAAAGATTTTCATTTATTAGGACCGTTTCATTTTAATTTAGCTTCACTTTTAACTGTAAATTTCGGTTTGTCGATATTGACACAACATCGTAAAAACACTCGATTCGGTTCTTGAGTCATGTTGTCAGTATATATGGTTCTTCGAAAAATCTGACTGTAAATATATGTTGCAAACAATATGAAGCCTACTTCTGTATCTAAAAAGATAAAGATGCTTGATGTATACTTACTGGAAATGTATTGAAACCATTAAGGTATCGCGGGTGACACCCGCCATCTTGAATTGTAAAATAGTAGAAAACAATCCGTCTAGATCTTTAATGAAATGTGCAATTTTTCATAGAAGAATGAAATTCATTTGTTAGACTTTTCATCTGAATGAAGAAAATTGTGTGCTTATCATATTTTTGCGACTGTTTTTTTACAAATACAGTTTGATTTTTTTTTTCATCTTTTTTTTTCAATTTTTTTTAACTTTGCCATATAAAGGGAGATAACTAATGTTACTTTTATACTGGCGTGTGTTATTATTTTGTTTTATAGCAAGAAAACGCGTCCCATGACCCTAAGTTTTATTTTTATTTTCTGAAAGCCCATTAGAAGAGCTGTCTGTTTTAATCTTAAAATTCTATGGTTTAGTTTTCTTTCTATCACATAAAATTGTGTTTTCCATGAATAATTCATGCAAAACCAGTAGCTTGAAAAAAAAGCCCTGTGACCTATAATTTTTATTATAGATTTGAGAAAGCCATGATACAAACTACATTTTGGCAAGTTATTAAAATTTTCTATCGATTTTAATTTAGACCCCCATCGACCTTAAGGTTGTTATTTTCTCCTATGGTTGTAGGTATTACTATAGGCGCTTCATATTTGTTCCTGTGTTGTTATGAATCACATGTCATGGCTAACTTAATAAAGATCCTTCTGCATTCCATTTTGTTTGATGATATGTTGCTTTAAATTTCAAAATTTTCTTATTATTCTGCAAAAAAATTGCAACAGGGAACATGCTCTTTATTCAAAGCCGTAACCTGTAATTTTTCACATCCTTTTTATTCTGATAAACGTCTCTTTGAAAATCATACCATGCACATCTCCTTTTATATATATATTAGTTTTTTTTATAAATTTTCTTTCAAAGTGGCATAATGGTTTCTGAATGTTGTAGTCAGCTTCAGCTAGTTGACAACTTCGACAAGTGACATGAATATCATAGCTCAACTGGTTCTTTTGGTTAGGTTGATTATTACTTCATGAAGACCTTAATTGGGGATAAGCCGGGAAATCGTTGTTCTTGTGTCAGAAAGAATCAGACTAGTATAATTTAATTTACATTCTGTTTACAAATTTCAAAAGCCTTGGAAAGTTTTCTGCATCAAGACTTTAACCCCTTTTTTATTTGAAAATCTTATATTGTCAAATTGAAAGATTTCATTTACTGATACAGAAAGGGACTTCCCCCCTCGTAATATAATTTCGATTTGACGTTGGGAACAAAAGTTGAAGAATACGAAGTCACGAATCTGTACCGACAAATATATAAAAATTCAAAATCTAGAATCACTTTAAGAAACATTGCTAATCATTGAAAATTTTCCTCATTCAAGCTGAAGAATGTGCTGTCGATGAAACATCTGTTGCACCAACAACTACTGAAACAATTGAAACGACAGAACCAGATGTCACCAATACCGGAAGTAGTACAACGATGGTTATAACGGATGAAACAACACATCTCATTTCAACACCAACAGAAACTACCCCTGAAGGAACAAGCAGCACTCCTATCACACCAAGACCTGATGATCCACCTATACAATCTTACTCTGCACACGGAGAAAACGGGACTTGTGTACTCATACAATGTGGAATTCAGTTCGAAATTCATTACAATACAACAAATCAAAAAGTATATAAAAAATTATATAGACTTAGTATTAAGAAAAGTTATCTTGGACTTGTCATGAATATTCATAATATGTGCCTGTCCCAAGTCAGGAGCCTGTAATTCAGTGGTTGTCTTTTGTTTCTTTCTATTTGTGTTCTGTTATTGTTTTGTCATAAATCTGGTCGATGGATTATTCGTTTGAATATTTTTTCACATTTAGTCAAGACGGAACTTTTTATAGCTGACACTGACACGGTACGGGTTTTGCTCATTGTTGAAGATCGTACAGGAACCAGGAGTTGCTTAATAAATCCACATCATTTCGAATCTGTTGGATAGTTGTCTCATTGGCAATCATACCCCATCTCATTATACTGGGTATTGTAAGATAAGGTAGCAATGTATAGCTTACAATGTGTGTGCTAAAACAAACTCCATACCTGAAGTCTTATCCCTGTCAAACTCCAAATATATTCTTTTATTCATACAGAAATGACAAAGTCCATGTTTTAATCAATCACTCAGATAAAAAAAGTTAAAACAGCAGGTGCACAACATCATACCTTGTAGAAGAATCTGCAAATAGAGGAGTTCAGTAGAACCGTTTTCAAGGAGCTGCAGATTGATATAAGCAGAAGTGTCCATGTTTTGGTTTATGATAACCCCAAAGTCATTCAGATCAAACATGAAATAGCATGTGCAAAACTCTTAGCGCTGGAGTATAATTTGCACATTTTGTGTAATTCTGTCATAATGTTTTCAGGAGTTGTTCATATCAAAGAATGTTGTCTTTTCTGGTTTCAGCAATCATCAAAAGTCATTGGAGTTCCAGAGAGAGTAACATTTGATGGAGGTTGCAATCAACCAAACAATACACAAAGTCTTCAAATACAGTTCTATGATAACTGGGATCTCCTACTTACATTTTCTCAATTTGATGACAGAGGAAGAATAAAATTCTATTTGTCTGATATAGATTTAACGGCCAATTTGAGCAAAGAACTTTTCCCCGATATCGATAATCCAAGTAAGTGTTATAATACATTAAAAAGACTAGTAAGTAAAAAATACGAATACCCCCCCCCCCCCCCCCCCCCCCCCCCCAAGAAAATAAATTAAAAAATATAACTCAAAGATTCAAAATCACTGTTGGAAAGATTTGAAGAGTTGTGTGGATTATTTCAAATCATATCTTAGTCTTGAATTGAGGTATGGTGGTGAAAAAAACTGTCATGTTTTAGCACTTTTGCATATAGTTGCATTTCTTCCATTCTTGAGAAAGATAAGCAGCCTTTCGATAGATAAAATAAGCTTAATGTATTTCAATGTCATTAGGTCACTCTTGCACAATTTCTTTTAAACTCAGTCATTTGATATTTTAATCATATCAAATTCACGATTTTTATGTTTAAAATTTATATTTTTTTCAAATAGAAGAAAATAACGAAATGGATATTGCTATTGGGTAATCAAAACTTTGATCGTTCTGTCAAAAAGGAGGAGGAGTTTCGAAATAAAACTCCATCTTTGTACATATTTTTTAATGATCATCACAAGATGTCAATCTTAACTGTATCACTTTAAATATTTTTAAACATATACACTAAATTATAGAGCACAGATCTCGACAAACTAAATATTCAAATCACAATATTTGACTTGAATTTTTAGTTTGTCGAAATTTGTGCTCTATAATGTTTTATCAAAAATAATGTCAAAAGATCTGTTTTTCACGACGTAAGCGCTGTATGTTTTAGGTTCTAAAAACCAATGGAAATTGACCTGTTAAATTTTCATCGAATTTCGAGGAAAATCAAAATTTGTGCTATTTGTGAGGTCACGAAAAGAACGATGATTGATTTCGTAAATTTTCAACAAAGAAACCTATTTCCTATCTAGTCATTGTTTTGCTATGATTCATTATGATAATGGTAAATACATCTTTTTTGAAATTTTAGCTGGAAATAAGGGCCTTAACTACCTACCCCTTTGTAACAATGTCTCAATCTTTTAGTGTACTCACGTTATTACTGAATCGTTGAAATAAACAATATACCCAACAATTACAACAATACAAATTTTGCATTTTGCTTTAGTTTTCAGAAAAAACATAAAAACAAATTTTGCAAAAGATACAATAACAGCTTCGACAGAAGGCAGTTACAGATGTACAAAAGAAGCAGCATTTCTATTAAAGGATGGAACTGTTATGAGTACATTTAACTTGCAGTATGCAGCCTTCCAGAAGAATATAACCGTTTTCTCAGACTCAGGTTCGAACATGTTCAATGGGTTTATATATTAAGTAACATTTGTCATATCACAGTTCGTCAATTGAAAACCAATTGTTATCGGTTGTGTTCTCCTAGACGTTTATTTTTTCCGAATAATTTTTTTGTTTTGCTTATTGTTTTATTAACATTTTCCACACAAGTATTCACCAGTGCAATCTAAGATTAACATCATGATGGACATGGCATTTTTTTAAGGTGTTAGTATACGTTTTAGCAGCAAGTTTCCAAACAAAACCTTATAAAACGATTATAAGTCGACGTATTGAATACCGATGGACAAAGAGCTACATAATACAACAATACAACTCAAAAACCAAACCATAAAATGCTTTCTCTTGTGCCCCTTCCGCCCATTAGCGCTATTATGTAAATTCGTTTCACTGAAATTCGACTAATATTCCAGTAAACTTTATTTAAAATCACAGACATTAGAATTTATATTTGCTTCATGTTCTGAATTTCTCTTGGAAATTGATACTTATACTAAATACTAAAAATTAAACTTAATATCTCGATAAACAAGAATGTAAGCAATCCCAATGATCATGAAACTGTCCAAGTCCCATGACTCTTGGGGATTTAATGGGCGAACGCGCTTACGCTTTCTATTAAAAAAAACAACATGTGTTGCGAGATTGTCAAACACTAGCACAAAAAGGCCCATTCAGCACCAATAATTAAAAGTAGACTCCTTGGGGTTAGGTGCCGAGGTACGAATTTCCGACCAATTAAAACCCAACTTTGCATTTGTTTCATGTATTAGTGAAAACTCGTTCCCCTTTTGTGCCTCATCCATCCCGTTCATATCCTTTTTGTATCATCTACTACATGTTCATCGTCCCAGGCAAATTTTATATATCATCTACTACATGGTCATCGTCCCAGACAAACGTTTTGTATCATCTACTACATGTTCATCGTCCCAGACAATTTTTTTGTATCATCTTCTACATGTTCATCGTCCCAAACAAACTTTTTGTATCATCTACTACATGTTCATCTCTCCAGACAAACTTTTTGTATCATCTACTACATGTTCATCGTCCCAGACATACATTTTGTATCATCTACTACATGTTCATCGTCCCAGACAGACTTTTTGAATCATCTACTACATGGTCATCGTCCCAGACAGACCTTTTGTATCATTTACTACATGTTCATCGTCCCAGACAGACTGTTTGAATCATCTACTACATGTTCATCGTCCCAGACAGACTGTTTGAATCATCTACTACATGTGCATCGTCCCAGACAAACTTTTTGCGCTTCTTGGGCGTAAAAACCCAACAATCAATTAATCAATCATTCCAAATAATTAAAAATATACATAGAGTTGTACATAATCATTTTAATCTAATTTTTGATTATAGGGATATCGGAATGTTCGTCAGATGTTGAAACAAGTTCCGTTATTCCTATTGCAGTTGGTTCTGCACTTGGTGGACTGATAGTCATCGTTCTGGTAGCTTATGCTATTGGCAGGAGATGCAAAGAAAAAGGAGATTACGACACAATATAAGAAGCTGACATAATAAAAATATCAGATAGTTCTCATGCATTGATGTAATTTTACTTTAATACATTGACAATATAACGAATGTTAGCAGAAATTCATGTACAAAAAAGACACTAACATATGAATGTAAATCTTGATAGTAAAATGTTGTGTAAGCGATATTCAAACGCATAAACAATGGTAAACGAAGAACATCGATGAAACATATAGTGTAATACATAAATATTGATCTATATTATTTTTTGCAGACAACTGATAGCATTAAAATTAAATTTTACGTGTAATTATAGTTATGGATTCCATCTGTTACTTCAAAAATGTAAAATACATAAAGATTAAATATTTATATTAAAATAACTTAAGGAGTGGTGGCATGATTGCCATTGAGACAACAGTACTATCCACTAATAATCAAAGGACAAGGAATAAAGGTCACCATACGGCCTTCAACAATGAGCAAAGCCATACCGTATAGTCAGCTATAAAAGGCCTTGACATTACAAAATGTGAAACTCTCAAACAGAAAAATCCAACGGCCTTACTTTCAAAACAATAAACAAAAATCAGATGTGACAGAGAGAAACTAACGACAACCATTAGGTTGTAAGCTGCTGACTTGGGACGGGCACTTAAAGAATGTTGCAGGGATAATCATGTTTGAGAGCGATCAACCAGGTTCCTCTCCCTTAACCTTGGATAGTTATATGAACAGCACAACATACGAGCAGTTGAAAGGGGATTAACCCGCCATATCGGCACGAAGCACAACAAAAACTTAACAAAAAGACAAACAACATGCACACATTACCATGTCTCTTAGCAGTATCACATGGAAAGAAAATGAAAGGAAATTAAAAAAAATCAAAATGTCGAAATTATTTTTAGTGATCAACATGCAATTGTTGTACGTTTGTTTTTTCTACATTGGCTATAGAGGTATTAGGGGGGGGGGGGGGTTGAGATCTCAAAAAACATGTTTAACCCCGCCGCATTTTTGCGCCTGTCCCAAGTCAGGATCGAGCCTTTGGCCTTTGTTAGTCTTGTATCATTTTAAATTTTAGTTTCTTGTGTATAATTTGGAGTTTAGTATGACGTCCATGATCACTGAACTAGTATACATATTTGTTTAGGGGCCAGCTGAAGGACGCCTCCGGGTGCGGGAGTTTCTCGGTGCATTAAAGACCAATTGGTGGCCTTCGGCTGTTGTCTGCTCTATGGTAGGGTTGTTGTCTCTTTGACACATTCCCGGGCCATTTCCATTCTCAATTTTATTATCTTATCAGAAAATACAGATTTGTGTCAATTAAGAAAATCTTCATGTCTCATATTTTCTGATTTTTTTATCTTAATTAAGAGATAGATTTCATATATATGTTCTATTTGCTTGCTGTTGTTTATATATGTCAAATTGATGGTTAAGGAAGTATTTTACGGTTGACAACATGTGAAGAATTTTTTGCGGAAACAGAAATAAAAGAAGATTGATAAAATGTGTTTTCTAATCATTCTGGATGCATATATGACATTCGTGTTCCAGATGATATTAAGCCATTTAAATGTTTCACATGCTCATTATAATAGCATTATATACATGTTCAATACACTGCAACTATCTGAACTTTATTTGCCGTCATGGGTCAGTCAAATGTATATATAAACATAGATACAACACGACTGCGCACCGGTAAATTTGAATCTGCCATCAATTTTCGTTATGGTCAAACAAGGCGATGAATCGGTGAAGGTAATTTGCTTTTTTATTTCTCTTTTATATGACATAGCATAATTAAAACCAAATGAACTTCGATAATCACCAAACACATCCTTCAAAGATTGTACATTATACTTATACATCACATGCAGAGTCGCACTTTTCTTTCATGTCAAGACAAACTCGACCAATCAAGAACTGATACTTCTACCGGGGTATGTGTTCTAGTAGTTTCAGTCTAGAAGCAGTAACCAAATGATACTGTTGAATATTAAACATGCAACAATGAAGAAAGAGTTTGGTCCAATTTCATCTAAATTAATTTTCTTCTATGTCAATCAAAACCAAATTCAATCGGTAGGTAACTATATGTTTTGCCTTGGAGCTACAATTGCATTTTGTCCTTCGATGCTTTTTGAGAAAAAAGTGCAACAGGCTATAAAAAGATGTTTATAGGACTGAATAACATTTTGTATAGATTTTTTTTTAATTACTGAAAAGTTTTAAAGTAAATCATCTATAAATTTCACGATAAGTTTCAACAATGTAATTGCAAGGTAACTTCTTTGTTTGTCTCATACTTCAGATTTAAAGAAAGCTTAGCCTATCCTGAAACTCAGTCAGGAAAAAAGTCAACTGGACTCTTTAACCTTTGATTTGTAACAACTATATTCATCCCTACACAACTGCACATAAAAAGAGACTAACTATCTGCAATTTATCACCTTTGTTGGACATGTAAATAGACAGTCCGAATTGAAAACCATTCCATGAGTAACCGACTGTGGTCCTATTTTTGCATATTCACGCGAGGCAGACTTCAAAGGCTTCTCAAAATTCAAGTATTATTTTTAAACATTACGTCCCGATCTGAAGATGGTGTGTCCTCTTAATAAATAATTCAAATTTGGTGAATTTCTATGTTGACCTCATCTATCCAAGTCTGCCATAGATAAGAGATACTAGTATATCTGATTCATATCTTGACTGAGAACTATTTCATCTGAGAGTGAGGGTCGATGAAAATTAAACTTTACGACAAAAGAGATGACTTCGAGTTATACTATTCCAAAGAAAGGGTCGAGTCCTCTCTCTGAAAGTTTTTAACACTTAGGGAATATAATTTGGATTTGTCATAGCCGGTTTCCAGCCCTCGTTTATGACTCCCGACAGAAACTTACCACCAGACTTTTTATTTGTCATGAGTAACACGATTGACGCTACAATTGAAAAAAGAATATTTCCCAGTCAGACTTCACCGTCTATAATTTATTGGTGGGGTTTGTGTTGCTCAAATGTGTTCAGTTATATGAGTTGTATTTTGTGATACTTTAATTTTAGCGTCCGTGTTGTTTCTTTCTGTGGTGGTATTTTCAATATTGTCCTATTTCATACTCTCAATTCAACTTTCACGCACAGTGCATGGACTTCCACTATCTGTGGTTGGTGTTGCTCAATCTTTGGTCTTCAGTATATATGGCGTGTTGTTTTGTCTTTCTTGCTTTTTGAAGCCGCTATAGTGCTGTCCGTCTTTCTTCGACTTTATGGTTTTAGTTTGCCACCTGGGTATCTATTTACTATTTGTTTTTATTACAAACACAACACAATACAATACGTTTTTCGGTCGGGTACACCAAATTTGTTGCAAACAAAGATAGGACGTTTCGGAGTCAGAATAATGTTTCCGAATACGGTAACTTGTGTTCTTGTTGACTGTTACCTTGTGAACTAGCATGTCAAAAATCCGTCTCAGAGTGTCGGTCTTGTACTAAGAATAGTTCATATTCACATCTCATTAACAAGTTCATGTCGTGATATGCATGAGATATTTGCCGCTGAAAATTAAAAACCAATCCACGATCATCCTCCTATAACATACATATACATAAAGAGTATTTAAATTTACTACTTGTGGATTATATGAGAATGGCTACTCATATACCTTCACTTGATGTGCATATGAATACAGGGATAATCTAAGGAAAGATAAATATTGTGAGACCCCCTTACATATACACATAATATATAAAAGCCTGTCAAAGAGCCCATGGCCATATATATACAGATAATACAGAAAAATCCTGGTTTGTACTTTTTTACGACGGTGATAATAATTCATTTGTACGAAGGACGAAAATTGTCTGCTCCTAATTTGAATTGTCTCCCTTTTAATGCAAGCTTAATTTTTTATTAGTTATTATATCAAAAGATCTAGAAATACTTTCAGCATTCAAAATCTCAAAAATAGATTATCTAAATTCCTTATGATTTTCAACTTATATGAAACTAAAACAAAAGGACACATGCCTATAATTTTTCTCATTTCCCAACAGAATAAAATTCATGACATTTACATAATTTCACTATTCAGATGAAATAAACAACTATTCTTTGTCTCCAATACCCGCCTCCCAAAAAGCAAAAGAAAAAGAAATGTATGTCTATTTTAAATATGATTAAAATCCAGATCATGCACATGTGTCCGCATTTCGTTTACAAGGATCTAACATTATCACATTCGTAATTATTAAGAACAATTTTTTTTTTAATTTCCAGTAAAATTATGATAAAGTAAATCCATTCATTATGAATACACAGAGACTACTACTGTTGCATGATTTTCTTAATTGTCTTTTTACACTAAGGCCCCAAAAAAGAGAAACGACTTTTGTTAAGTTTCCCTACCTACCTCATCCAGAAGATCTAGAAATACATTTGCCATTATAATTCATCAAACAAGATTTTCTATAGGACTATGTTTCAAATTTGTATAAAAACTTATACGACATACGTGTGCACACTGTTGTACCATCATTGAAATAAGAAGCAAAACCAAGAAATAAAAAAAAGTGGAGTTACTAAATGTCTCCCCATAAACTCAATGCAAAAATATATAGCAAGATAAAAAATATTCCTACCCAATTGTTTTACGGAAGAATACCTTAACACCTATATTTTTTTACTTTGAATTTATGCCTTAAAAGACAATGATAGTTAAATGTAGGGGTCTGGGTAATACTGTAAATTTTGACAGTAGAATTGATATATCATTTCAGTTTTAACATCCATTAGATATACATGAATTGTTTACGTCTATACTATGAAAATAGATATCAACAGAAGAATGCTTTTATCATTTGTTTTTTTGGGTGGACTTACAAAATGACAACAGTAGGTCATCTTACCCCATGTGCAATGACCTTACCTTTGAAAAACACAATGTCATGTCTGTGATCTATTGATACACAAGATATTATACAATTTGTTATTTTACCTTAATACATAAATTGTAGTCTGTGCAAAATAATCGTTTAACGGTGCCCTAAAATCTAGTTTTGTGATAACCACTTACATCCTTCAATTAAAATACCATTAAAGTCACCCATTAAATAATTCTCACTGAACCTTATAATAGAGGTACAGATGATATGTATCGATACCAAATAGAATATTTACACCATTTTTCTTAAGTTTAAAGGAATTGATTTAATTTCTACTGTTTTAAAACCTATTTTCTGGTTGACAATATAGAAATGTAGTATATTTATACATATGTGCATGAGACT